ATAAATTTGTTAGTCTCTAAGGTGCCACAAGTACTCCTGTTCTTTTTGTGGATACAGACTAACACGGCTGCTATTCTGAAACCTACTAGTAGGAAACCTTTAAGTACTGACCTGGTCTAACCCTGTTTAGCTTGTCAGATTTGACAGGATTAAGTAGTGTAGCTGCAGACTCAAGATCATGAAAAAAGTTCTCTTTTCAGAAAGTCTAATGCATTTCCACCCTGCTTCTCTTCACCTTTTCAGAAGAGGTGTGGGGAAGAGAGAGAACAATATCAAGATTCCTGAAGAAAGTTACAACTATGATAGAAATAAAACAGAGAATTGCAGTAACTAAATCTATCCCAAAATTCAGGATGTAGCAAATGTATCTATTTCTCTAGAATCTGTATTTTCACTTCATGACTCAATTCAGTGGCAAGACAGACTAGAACATTAAAAAAAAAAAAAAAGTACTTAGGGTTGCATTTTTCACCTGTAGAACATTATGGGGCCTTTGTTTGTAATTTGCAGTTCATGCATATTAAATATATATCCCCTCCCCTAAAAGGAAGCGCACCTGACAAACAGGTCTAGTGATCAAAAGACAAAGATCTAGAAATCACCAGATAAGGGTTCTATTCATGGCCCTTACCATGACTCACTGCACAGCCACTGAAAAGTCAGTTTCCTTGTATATTAAATCCAGGTAACTACCACCTCACAAGGGAATTGAGAATTAAATTAAAGCTTGTAAAGTGCTTTGAGTTCCTCAGATGAAAGACACTAAACACCACCAAAACTATGTAAAAAGGTGGCCTGATTTTTTTTTATGTTGTGCAACAACAAATTCCTTTGGTTTTGCTTAAAATGAAAGATGATGTCTGGCTGAAAGCTCTGTAGCTAGTTACAGTGGTGGGTGCCTTGTCACTTCAGAATGAAGAGTCCATTTGTACTCTTAGTATAATAGATAGTATATTTACAGACTGCTGGTATAATATTTTTCCAAAGCATCCGTTCCTTAAACCGATTCTACTTATTCAACAGGATGCAGGCAATGTTTAATTTGCTATTATTTGAAATAAAAATAAACTGGTGTTGATTTTTGGCATCAAGGAAGGGAAGTCTGATATTTCACTGACAATTATAAAAAGCGTTACCAATCTCCTCCCCACAAAGTTCACCAACCTCAAGAGTCTTCATAAAGTAACCCAAGCAAATGTTTCAAATTCAAAATACAAAAGGTATGAATTATGTTTTATAAAATGTACAAAGCTAGCCAAAGTTACATGTTTAGATATTTAATCTCTAAAGAATGGCAGGATAGCAGCAGGAACTTAAATATGGTAAGGACTATCAACAATAAATACAAGAAATATTAGTGCAAAGATTGCAATAGAAGGATTTCTTGAATCAAATGAGAATATAAAGAGTCATTCTAATTTGTACAAAACAGTCCCAGCACTGTATACAATCTGTTCTATAAATACAACCATTTATGATGAAATGCTTATTTGCAAATAGGTGTTAGAAAATGTGCTTTGTTGGGTTTGTTCACTCTTCTCTTGGCAGGTCTAGTTTGCAGGAAAGTCTATGAAGACAAAAATTTCTATAATTAGACAGTTTAACCTCCTAAAAAGCTATTTTGCAGCTCCTTCCCTCCCTCCAGTTACAGATACGTATTTCAGGAAGTAGATGTTCTCCCCAACCCACACTTTTTGAAAATACCAACTATTTCCTTCCTTTGTATAGAAACAGACAAACAAGGAATTTTGACCTGAAATTGATCTACATCAAGAAATGTTATGGGAAATACTAATAATGTTAATATGACAGTTTGCAGTTAGTAAATACAGAGTAAGTGCTATGAAGGTAATGCAAAGTGTGTGGGAGTTTGCCTTCATGTAGCAGTTTACCTATAGTGAAGCATGAAATTGGCTGTGCATTGTTATTGCCTGTTGAAGTTTCTCCTCTTTGGCTCGTCTACAGTGGCAAATCTAAAACACAAACAAAGTGGACCAGTTAGCTCTGAAAAGAATAACCTGCTATGTTTCATTTTTGTATTCTACACACCCAATCCCTATTTCTTTCTTTTTTAGTTCAAAAGTTGCCTATTTCATGGAATCTTAAAAGAGAGACTGACCTGTGGACCACTTCCCTACCATCAATTCCACCAAAATTCACTCATATTTGTAAGAACACTTCTAAAGCAGTTGCTTATGTAGAAAAGTAATTAGGAAAATATTTACAGTATCATTAGATGACTTTACTATGATTTATCTGCAGGAAACAAGAACAGAAACCAAGAGCAGGTGCAGTGATCATGAACCATATTTTAAGACTATCAATTTTAATTATTCTCTATTATTTCATCCTTAAAGGGTTAACGAAATTTAAAAGTTATGAGGTTGAGACTCTTAACATAGCAGATTATTCTACATATCCTGTCTCTTCCTTCCCCCTCTTAAAACTGCCCAACTGGTTTTCTTCCTTATTTCTGTGCAAGAATGGGAGGACAGTACTATATGTGGGAGAAATCACAGAAATGTAGTACTAGAAGGGACCTAAATAGATCATCTAGTCCAGTCCCCTGCACTGAGTCAGGACTAAGTATTACCTGGCTCACTCAAAGATACATCTCATTGCTCTTGCTCAAAAAATGGGATGGAAGGTTACATTTCATCACGCATACGCATTTCTGTCCACCTTGTAACAATGACATTATGTCTCATTGACAAAAAAAAAAAATCAGTGCGCCCTCCCCCTTTACAGTTTAGCACCAAAATTATATATATATTTATATATATATATATATATATATATATACACACACACACACACACACACACACACACACACACACACACACACAGCAAAGTAAGTTAAAGGGTCACTGCTATCGGAGTGTGGCAAAACCACAGGAGATGCAAGGCTCTGTCACAAAGCACCTTCTAAGATTAGGGGAACTGGGCATAATAAAAAGGAGTATATAGAAGGCACATACAAGAATAAACTAGAGTTCAAGTACATGAGAGTGAATTTACAAAACTACAAACCATTTCTAATGTTACTGACAAGCTATATAAGATATGTTGCCATCTTGGAAGAATCAGAATAATTAGTTAAGACTTTTAAGAAGTGTGCAGCAGGTCACAGAATCCAGCATTCTGAATCACAGAATTGCTCCACTCTTAAAAGTGATAAATACTGGTTTCATACACCCCACTTGTACAATTAATTTCAGCTTGAGAGTATATTACATACAGTTCTCTTTTCCATGAAGCTACTAAGGAAGTCATCTATTTCCATTTTTCCTTCCAAGAAATCTTCTGCAATAGTGTCAGACTCCTCTTCGGCTTCATGAGCAGCTACTTTCAGTCTGGCCTGCAAAGCACTGGAACTGCAACTCTGAGGAAAAAAAGTTTCCTGCTAATGTTAAATGATCATTGAAAACCATGTTTATTTTACACAAGGTAGATAAAGGAATGCATGAAAACAGCTTAATGGGTGTGGGAGAGAACATTACTGTAGTATCTTAAAATTAAGACTGCTAAGCAACTTAGAAATTTGCCACCTACAGGAATCAGTGAATGTTTAAATTGATAAAAAAAATCTAGAGGGGAACACAGAATGAAGACGACATTTGGCAGAGTAACTGATTTGGGCTGACTTACCCTTACACCTGTGCAGAGCTCAACTGATTTCAGTGATGCTGTGTGTGATTGTTAAAGCCCACCCTCACAGATCTGACTGCAGGGTCCCCAAGGCCTTTGAGATCACTGTTTCTAGAAGTCATTATTAAAAGATGCTCTAAAGCAAAATATAAAAAGTAATCAATAGGCTTCACACTTGAAGTTCATGCCAGAAACTTAAGGACTGGTCATGAACCCGAGTAAGTGGAGCCAGGTGAAAGTACAAAATTTTTATAATCATGGCTTTCAGATACCTTTGGAATACAACTGACTGAATAATTTAGTTTACTTTTTCTAGGAGGAATCCTGTTCAAAAACTAGTTTATTCTCCTAGTCCCAGCAACATGCTTGTATCTGTAAATTGGTATCTATGTGAAACAAAACAACTGAATGCATCAAGACAAAGGGAAATTTAAACTGAACATACTGGTATTTTTCCTGACTAAACACCAATTTGACAAAGAAGAAAAGTTTTATGCCAGCTCAAAACCAACTTTTCAGCTAACCAACTCCTGTCACCTTTTCTTTATCCAGCTAGGCTCAAAGCCAATTACGCTGGCCACATCTCTATTTTTATAACACACTTTAGCTGCACTTGAAAATAGTCAAGTCTTGTTAAACTGTGATACTGATATTAAGTGAGAATGACTTACTTATAGTTGGTACTTTTATACATATTATGTGGAGATCTAAGCTGGACTTCGGCCCTGGTGTTCTTTCCCCTGAGGTAAGTTTATAGTGCCTGGTCTAGAACTCTTAGCTAGGTTTTAACTGTGTTCTTGATTTTATCACCTAGTCTGTTACAACTCCTCCCATCACAATGAAGAGTTTGATTAAATCATCTTGCTAACCGGCTTAGTTAATGAATTTTTTTTTTGGTCAATCTCTCTCCCCAGTACCTGCCATTGACCAAATTTGTCAGGAACAATTCTAATGGCACCATCACTCAGCATCTGACAGATTTTTTGCTACTGTACCACTGAATGTGAAATAGAATCTTGGTTGTACTACCACCTTCTGTTTTGTTTTTAAGCTAACTTTACACCTAAGAACTGACTGTCACAGAAATATTACATAGCTCCACTTAACTCAAATCATGGGAGCCATGCACACTAACATAAAAGCAGAATCTGGCCAGAAGAATATTCTTTAAAATTTTTATTATACTTTTGTCCATAATTTGTAGAATGTTATTCAAAAGACAACATGAAAATAAAAAAGTTATACCTCACTAAGCTCATGCTGCCTTTGCATCTTCTTCTCAAAGGTGGCTTTCATCTGAGTAAGCTGTTCATACTAGGGGGGGGGAAAAATATTTCTTAAAAACAACGAACATTTCAGCTATTTCTTTTCCAGAAAATTTATTTTTATTCACTTACTTTATCCAGCACTGTTTGCCTTTTCGCCTCTAGACTGGGTTCCAACAGTAAATTTTTTTCTGTAAAATAAATAAGCTGTTTAATTTTAAGAGACTACGGTTCTGAAAACACACCCATAGTTATAAATATGTTGAAGTCTTACTTGCTAACTCTTCAATGCTTTTCACGAAGTCATCTTTATCCATTATGATTTGCTTCAGCTGGGGCAGATTCACAAACTGTTCCAGCAAAATATCCTCTTGCTCATTCATAGCTGTCAGCTGTGGTATACTGGATTAAAAAAAGAAAAGGATATACAGCAAAAGGCCAATCAAAAATGAAACCTAGCAACTTATTTGGGATTTCTTTTCCTGCAGCAAAGAAGCCATGTTGTTTTATATTTTCTTGCACTGGACTCTACCATCTGCAGTGGACAGGCTTTGAAAGGTGGTGTATTAGTACCTTTAGTTTCAATCTTTACTTCCTTACTGTGCTCCTGAATGTGTTATCTAGTTCTGATGCAACACAATTTGAGAAATTAGACTAGAAACATAATATTGTTGGCAAATTCTGGAGCCCTATGGAAAAGTTTAGGAGCTGATTCATTGAGTCCACATTTCTCTTTAGTCATCTTGGAAGGCTCAGACTTGCTGGTAATGTTTCTTAAAAATAAGAAAAAACAAAACGAACCCTCTTTGCTATATATAAACATATGCTACTAGTGCTTAAAAGCCTCATATATAAACTGCTTGTTGACAGCCTGCATAACTTTTGACACACCCTTAAGAAGGAATTCTCTGTTTCCAGAGACCCTCAGAATCTGTTGTTCATCCTGCCAAACCTGGAAATGCATAGGAAAGGTCAATTGATTTGCATTCTACAAGAAAGAGTTTTTGGTTTAGTCAACTATTACAACAGGGGTTAAGAGTAGGACATCAGAAGGTGAGCAAATCCATTGTCTGAGACTAATTTAATTGAGGAGTCCATTTCTTTCAGACAGATATATCTGGCTTGAGAGGCTGTTTTAAAAGCCTGAAGGAAATTCTCCAGTGAAGGCTAACTGTTAATGCCTTGCCACAGCTTAAAATAACAAACAGTCAGTCAAGTGGAAGTGTCTGTGAGTATCTATGCAGTATGGATAAATGTTTATTGTAACAGCAAGTATTTACAACTTAAGTTATAAATATTCACAAAAGTGGAAGTCTTTTCTATGGGGGACTGCTGTAGGCTGCCTTAATACAGGATATGCCTTCCTGTCTTTTTTTGTGACTCATTCTTTTTCCAGATGTTACACTTATTGGGTGCCTGGTGATGCACGGGAAAACAGTTTGAAGGACACAGCAAGAGACTCTTTTATAGTTTGTCAGAGTAATGTAAGACAGCATTTACCTACAGTTCCCAATATATTTTCCTATTAAAAAATCCTGAGCAAGAAAAAAAACTGAGTTAATAAAAGATATGTAGCAACCTACAGAAATTGAGGAAGTCATGGTAAATATGAGTACTGTTTTCTCCTAATGAAACTTTTTGGTGGTTATCTAGCAACAAGAAAAAAAAAATCTTTTCCAGTTCAAGCAGTAATTGTCATATGCATTACCACAAAGTAACTACTTCTCTCTCCAAGATCTTACCTTAATTCTGAGAGCTCTGGAAATGCATCAGGAACATCAGGCATCTTGTAAGTGAAGCCATTCTGGCCCACCTGAACAGAAGTTTAAAAGCATTATTTAAACTTAGAATAGTAATTTCTTTCTTTTGCTTCTAATCCCATCTAAAAAGCCCTTGCCATAGCGAGAATGGTTGCCTCAGCACACATCTGCCCTGAGAAGAATTTATATTCAATGTCTGGACTAGCTCTGAGGGATGTAGGTGTTAACTGCTTAAATGATAAATCTCACTACACATACAAACCTGTAATAGTGCTTCTGTTGTTGGAACAGGTAATGGCAGGTCTGTGATCAAGCCATAGGATGGAGCAGCGGGTTTGTCTGTAGTGTAACCTGATTCAGCAACTGGCACAGAAGCTATAGATCTATTTGTTTCTTGTGGGGGGTATGGAGGAAGAAACGGAAAACCCTGAGGAGTATAAGGAGGCATTCCAGCTGGTTTACTGTAAAGACTAAAAAAAAAAATTTACCATCAGCAACTAATTGTTTACTGTTCATTTATGATATTTTAATAATACATCTGCAATTACTAGCACACATGCAAGGTACTCGGTTGTTGAGCTTTTGAAGTAGTACACAAGTATTTATTATCTCAAAAGTAATAATAAAAGTGAGAATAATAAAAATGATAATTCTGCGAGAGAAACTTTACCGTATGTTGCTATTTATACAATAATACTTAGAAAGTTTTTCATAATGAAGTAAGTTCAATTCTCTCTCTATCCCGGTAAAGAGTTGAAAAACAAAGTTATATGCTCTCAGATTTGATGTAGAGCCAATTGCAAATGTGAACTCAAGTTTTATGCTTCTCAGAAGTTTGCAAAAACATCAATTTAAACCTGGTTTCCACTAAGAAGCCCTTAAAAAAACCTGAGTTGAAATGTCTATTAGGGTTTGTTCACCCTACAAAACTTAAGCGCATCAGCAACAGATAAAGCTTTTAAGCAGTTTCTGAAGTGATTAACTTTTTTAAATTCAACATTGCATATGACATTGCTTGTCAGTGATCAATAATTTCTGAAGTATGGACAAGGCTATAGTGCTAGGGCCTGCTGTGCATATTTTAATCTAATTATCTATTTGACAGATTCTCAAATGAATTAAAGTTTGGGAGTTTCAGATCCTGAGGTCATCAGCAGGGCATCCAGGAACAAACAACTGCTTACAGGAATCATTGCCTGAAGTGCTTGTTTTGCTATTGATAAACATTCATTAATCTTCAGAAACATAAAAGCACTGAAGTCAAATTAACATGCTAATACAGGAAAGCCAACTATATTTATCATTTTAAAATTGACCCGAAGTGGACAGATCCATGCCTATCAATTAGCTGAATTATACATTTCCAGTCTGAAACAAAACCATTTTTTGAACTTTTTGCCTCTCCTCCAACTAATTTACATACTAATTATTTCCAGCTTGTTCCTTGACATACAGTTACATTCATACATTTCCTAAGAAAATCTAAAGATGAATCTGGAAATTACTTGTCCAGGTTTTGCATACACTTGAAAATGGTCTGATCTCTCAATTTTACCTTTATGTATACTTACTATGGAAATGATGTTAAGCTAGGAGCCAAAACTGGAGGATTCTTCCAAAACTCATCCAGTAAGCTCTGAATAATTTTTCCAAGGTCAGAGTGCATTGTGAACTGGTAGAGAACAAAATCTATATTATATTTAGCACTCCTAAAGTACCAAAGAAGCTCAACAAAAAAGAAGTGCATGATTTCTTTTGAATGCAATTGTGATGTTACTGACAAACTGTGACAGTATAGATAATTTTTGCAACCAAGGTCATATAGTGGCACCAAATCTTGTACAAAGGAGGTTAAGTAAGGTGTCTATGACAAGGTTATGATTTGCTGGTTATGATTCTGCTATCTGTAGGCATGTATCATTTTTGTATTTAAAGTTATAAGTATTGGCTCTATACTGTCTGTATTTCAAACTTGTGCTATGCTTCTGGGTGACACCCAGACAATTTGGCATCAGCACTGCCTAGCCTGCTTGATGGCCCATTAAGGACCATCAGCTATACAACTGACCCATTGAGAGAAGGCAGATACACCTTGTAACTCAGCAAGGCATGCAGGGACATGCCTATGGACAGAACTCTAAGGTTTTTCCATGCCATGCGCTGGGTAGTTTGTTTTTGGAACAAAGGAAGCACAGGCCACGTGGCAAGAGACTATAAAAAGCAGCTGCAAATCCTCCATCTTGTCTTCAATCCTGCTTCTTACCTCTGGAGGAACTTTGCTACACTGAAGCTCTGAACAAAGAACTGAATGACCCATCCCAGCTGTGGATGTACTCCAGAGACTTGATTTGAACCTGCAGTTTATTCAAGCCTGAACCAAGAACTTTGCCATTACTGTATGTAATCGATTCAATTTAATCAATTTTAACTCATCTATATTTCTTTCTTTTATGAATAAACCTTTAGATTTTAGATTCTAAAGAATTGGCAACAGCGTGATTTGTGGGTAAGATCTGACTTATATATTGATCTGGATCTGGGGCTTGGTCCTTTGGGAGAGGGAGAACCTTTTTTCTTTTACTGAGGTATTGGTTTTCATAACCATTCGTTCTCATAACGAGTGGCACTGGTGGTGATAATGGGAAACTGGAGTGTCTAAGGGAATTGCTTGTATGACTTATGGTTAGCCAGTGGAGTGAGACCGAAGTCCTCTCTGTTTGGCTGGTTTGGTGTGCCTTAATAGTAAAGGAAACCCCGCCTTGGGCTGTAACTGCCCTGTTCTAAGCAATTTGTCCTGAATTGATACTCTCAGTTGTGTCCCGCCAGAGGCTGCATCGTTACAGCAATATCATATGAATATGTCTAAACATGCGTTGTAACTCATGTATAATTGCATCCACATTAGAAGGTTGTGTAACAGTACAGAAACAGATGGCTAATGTGGTAACTCAAAGTGTGTGTAAACAAGCCCTTAGGGTTTTTAATAAGTCATTTCTTTAAGAGTTGAAGTCTCCTGAGCTGTGAGTGGGTGCTGGAAATCTATGTATATGTTCCATTATCAGATATGGGTTATCTATATATGAAATTGTTTGATAGAAAGATGACTAAACAGACCTAATGATCATCTGAAAGCTCAATAAGTTAACACAATCTGAAATAAAAAGCCATTCGAAGAGTCAAAACTACAAAATTGGCTCTGTTATTTTAAAGTATCCAAAAATGACTGGGAATTTCCTAGAAAGAATTTTCCACTAAATGAACTGTAGTAAAACAACTCCGATATATACCTGGTCTGGCAGAGAAAACAAATGAAAGACGTGTTATTTGGGATAGCTAACATCTTTAAGACCTGCTTACTGTTGCATGCATCAGTAAATTGCAAAGTAATCTAATTTTAGATTACAACAATTTCACAACAAAGCAGGAAGACATCTTTGCAAATCAGACTTAAGTCACAACACATGGTGCTATCCATATTTAAGAAACCCTACAGTAACCGTCCAAGTCACTGAAGCTTACAGTAGTGCAACAGAAGTTGTTCTGAATGATTAGTAAGGAATACTGTGTGTCTCTTTGTTTTTACACAAAGCACATATAGATTAAGTTTTGTATTCCTAGAAATTTGTTGTCAGATGTACTAGAGAAGTCAGAGTGCTACATATATGAAATCTGTTATATAACCAGTAGGGAAATTATACATACATTGCTTATTAATGGACATGCCACATACACTCCTTGTTTGTCCATTAAGTGATGTCTTATTGGCGGGAAAACACTGATCACCGGTTTTTCTTGAGGAAACTGAGGAGGAAGCAAGCTGTAAACACAAAAATACTTTATTATTATTGGCATTTTTAACTGTGTGTGATAAGCTTGTCTTATTAGAAATGTGTTGCATTAAGAAAAAATATCAGATACTTCTACTTCCTAACAGGAAAAACTATGGAGACAGAGAGAGGTGCATAAGAGGGATTTTTACTTCAGATATACATTATTAAATTAGTGGGAAAAAAAGAGTCAGTAATATGAATGGTGACCTCTTTGAATATTTCTTTTCTGGGATCAGATCAGTTTAAATAGCAGGAAAAAAAACTGCATGATGTCTCTTCAATAAAAGAAAGAGAATGTTAATCAGAATGTTAAATGGTACTGAGGAGGGCAATTGGACTCAGAAAAGGAGAGAGCAGATTGTACTCTCAAGTGCTGCTAAATAGGCTTAAATACCTCCATGGTGTTTTGCGATATACAAACTTCGGGTTTGCTTACAACAGGAGACACACTGCAGCAAGCCAGGGTGTGAATCTACAGCTTGCATTGTGAACCCTCCAATGCACTAAAAGTTTGGAAATGCACTTATACATACTCCTGTTTCAAACAGCAGCATGTGAAAGTACACTATGGAACTTTTAGTGCACTGGAACAGGGTCTACACAGGACATTACCATGTGGCAAGTTAGTGTGCACACCCTGGCTTGCCACTAATGTCCCATGTAGACAAGCCCTTGGAGAGAAAAGGGCGATGCCCTGGGAACCACAGGAGAATTAGGCTCTGTGACCAGGCACCAGAGCAAATGCGCTAGACTAAAGCAGTAAAAATGTGCAACTAGAACAGCCTAGGGTGCCAGAGACCATAGCATGCAAATTCAGAGGAAACACTGTAAAAAACTCAATTTACAGTAGAAAATATGAATGAAATAATGATCTTGTATGACTGATGTTGTAGTACAGAGAATAAAGAGAATTAAAGAAAAGTTTCTATTAGTAATTCAATTCAAACTTTAGAAACTGCTTGCCATTTTATGTGACTTAGCTTCTTGCTGAAAAAATGTAGGCTTGCTTTGGAACTGAGCCTGAAAATATGAATGTGCTTAACTTTGAGCATTTACTAGTACAGTAAAGATAAGCACATCTGTAAGCGTTTGCAGGAATGGGGCCTTAAGTTTTATTATTGTTACTATTTACAAGGCAAGATTTTAAGTTCCTAAAGTTGTGTTTAAGGAGATCTTGCGCTACTCACACGTTAATATTAATTGTCAGGTTGTTTACGGTGAATGGCAACCTATATTCCACATCTTTCTGTATTTCGGCAATGCTATAAAGGAAAAAATTGTTAGAGTCCAATTAATAATAAGTACAACATTCACAAGCTTACAGACATTACTTTGATTTGTTTTTCTATTATACTTGTTAAAAATGAATGAAAACAAATTGTTGCAATTACTTAACATCTTCACAGAATGCTGACCTAGATAAATTTAAAAAGAGAAGGACGGTTATGAATTTTTAAGACACATGACTGCCGGCAGTGTACATAAAGGCACTAGAAAAATCCAGGCTTTGTAAATTTAATGTCGTCTCCATTTCCCCAAAACGTAATTAATCCTTCTAATTGCAAAGATAATCTTCATACTAGGAACAGATTCCTGGTTGCCTTTGTTTCAGTGTGTAGCCAGGCAGACTGAAACAACAAGACTAATGGCTTGTCTACACCATGTAGCTTTTAATGACAAGGCTGTGTCGACACAACCTTGTCGCTAAAAGTCAGCGTGTGCAAACGCTCTTTGTCGGCACTTTTGCCAACAAAATATTTCCAGTCCTGTGAGTGGCATTAGCTTTGTCGGCAGGAGAGCGCTGCGTTGGCAAAACTTTTGTCTTTTGCGGGGGGGCTTTTTAAAGTACCCATGAAAGACAAAAGTTTTGTTGACAACTTCACAGTGTAGAAGTATCCTAAGAAGAGTGTGAACTTCTTGTCCTAGTTTATGATAAATTAAATACCCACTTCATCAATTCACTGAAACTTTTCCTATTAGCCTTTCAAAAGTGATGTGCTATGGCTTTGGCATAATAGATGAATTTTACATAGCACATTTTATCTGTAGTTGAAGCGTTATACAAGAGCTACGTGAGCTAGCTATAGAAAGAGTCATTCTTGCACAGTTGTGTTACAGTCTATTTTAAGAGTTATTAAAATTTAATCTAGTACGATAAACCCATAGCATGTCATTTTTGACAGATTAACAGGGGAAAGTGAAATACACATATATATAAAAGACACTTTCAAACTGGAAGTCATATTTAAAACAAAATGCCTTACTTGTGCTGCTAAAAGTATCTTGTTTGCTAATAAAAGAAGGTTATTCAATTTACATTATAGTGGTGGTAGTGCAATAACAAAAGATGATTAGTCACTCTGACTTGTTTCTAGTTAGTTTCACTTTCAGGTTCTCAGGCACAGGAACTGTGTGCTTCAGTGTTCAAATTATAAATAATGAAGAAATGTTTAAAGACAAAACAGTCATTCCTGTAGAAACTGCACAGATATTAATAGAAAATATTAATTTGGCAATTTGGGGGATAAACAATCACACGCTCCAAGATCTTCTTTAGGGGACAGAGCAGTGATACTCACTGAAGGGCCACTATTTAATCAAGTGGAATCTCATCATGAAACAAGTAATTGTAAAAGATGTTCTGAAACTGTGTTTGACAGTTGACAATTGCAACATTCTCATTGTTGGCCTCCGAAACATACGCACGGCATGCCTTTAGTCCATATGAAGTGCAGCCAAAAACTCATCTTCACTGCCCATCAATTTAATTATGCAACTCCCCATAATGGGTCTCTATCTACTATCACATGGAAATTAAGCTTCTCACCACTTCAAATCTCTGTAATTTTGCTCCTTCTGTGTCAGGCTTTGCACTGTTCTTTGTTCCCTCTCCACTCCCCATTTGCTGCCTTCAGCCGGATACTACTTTCCTTCCTCCCTATGGCCTCTCCAGCTATATCGGGGGCACTGAGGGGCTGGGAGAAAGGCTGCGGGCTCCAAGCACAGCACCAAGATCGGGGTCCAGGCTGCGAGCTGCTGCCCGGCCCCGCACAGCAGCAGGATCGGGCTGTGGGCTCCCCGCCCCGCATTGCAGAGAGGCAGGGTTGGGCTGTGGGGTCCCAGCTGCCTCCCCCGTGACTCCACGCAGTGGCAGGATCAGGCTCCAGGGTCCTGGCTGCTCCTCCCCACCCCTGACTCCGCACAGCGGCAGGGTCGGAGTCTGGGTCCTGGCTGCCCCCTGGCCCTGCGCAGCAGCAGGGGCTGAGATCCCTGCCCTGTGTTCTGCTCCTGGCCCCACTCTGTGGAGAGGTCCTGGGAGGAGAGCGCTGGGTATATGGGTTTGGAAGGGGGGGACTAGGTGGGGGGTACCATGGTTCTCAACCTGAAGCCCAGGTAACACTTTATGGGCTGCATATGCAGCCCACAGTAATAAACAGGTTGAGAACCACTGTTATAGACAATTGTATATGGAGGTTTGGGCTGTCAATTGCATTCTAAATCCCACAACTGTGTAAAATTAATAGATGTTAAGCTTAAAAGGTTCCCTTAGACCATCGGGGTTGACCTCCTCTGTAATACAGGCCATGGAATTTCATGGTTACCCCTGTGTTGAGGCCAAATAACTTGTGTTTGACAAAACTTTATCTTCTAGAAAGGCATATAGTCTTGATCTGAACCCATCCACCACTTTCCCTTGGGAATTTATTTCAAGAGTTGCTCACTTTCACTGTGAATATGTCCTACTTTTACTTTGAGACACTGATTCTTGTTATACCTTTCACCACTAAACAGAAGAGCCCTTTAGTTTCAGGTACCTGTGAAGGTACTAATACATCAGGACCATGATGCCTCACAATCTTCTCTTTGATAAGAGAACAAACTGAGCGTTAAGTTTTGCACTGCAAGACTTTGTCTACAGTAGGAAGGTTTTGCCAGGATAGTTACACTGGCAAAACCCACCAGTGTGGAGGCATTCATATCTGTACAAAAATGTCCACACTAATGCAGTTTAGGTTTAAGAGAATAAATTATACTTTTATAAACAGATGTGCTAGTACAACTACCTCCACATTACGGCTTTCATAAGTGTCACAACTAGTCACTTTTGTTATGTTTTTGCATCAATATGAGAAGAGGCAACAGATACCACCACCTCATCTAAATTAGCAACAACATTCAATTAAAAGAACAGGAGTACTTGTGGCACCTTAGAGACTCACTCCTGTTCTTTTTGCGGATACAGACTAACACGGCTGCTACTCTGAAACATTCAATTAGTTACTTTTTATTCATGAACAGCCAAAATAAAGGAGGGCACAGCTGGTCCCCTGCATCGTTGAGGGAACCGCTTAAGGATTAATTGGAGGGAGGGTCCATCCTTTACAGATGTGCAAAGGCAGGAAGGAGATGAGGCTGCACGTCTGCCACAGAATCTAGCACTATCCCTGGCGATGATGCAGGAGAAGGAACCCCACGCTTGCCTCTCGTGGCCCAGGTGGACTTCGCAGGGCTAACAGTCACAGAACGGCTCTCTGCACCGCCGGACTCGCCAGCCCGCGGGGCGGCGCCGAGTAACACTGGAGCGGGGGCTGCTCTAGGGCTTCGCGGAGACAGAAGCAGACGCAGCCCGTAGTAGAATCAGCGCCGGGGGGGAAGACAGGTACCGCCGGAGTGGGGGAGGGGAGGAGGCCCCGGAGTGATTCGCCCCCTCCCCCCCCGTTAGTGACTCCCGCCCACCCCGCCGGTCACTCACGCGGAATGGGCGCTGCGCAGGGACTCGATCTGCCGCTGCTTCTGCTGCTGGAGGCTGGTGAGGGCGGGGAGCGGGGCCGCGGGGGACGAGGACGAGCCGCCGCCCTTGGACAGGGGGAACAGCCAGTTCATCCTCCCCGCGGCGCCCGGGCCACCCAGCGCCCGCCTCCCGCCGCCCCGAGGGGGAGAACGCAGCTCTGCCCGGCCGCTGGCGGGGCCGGTTTCGGTGCCCTCAGCCCCGGGCTCTGCTTGGAAACAGGAAGTAAGGAGCGCGAGCCACTGTCCTCTCAGACATCAACACACGCCCGCGTCATCACCGCTCGGCGGACGCATCTATTGGGACGCGGCGGTGGCGCCGGCCGTGCCCCGGAAGGCGGAGCGCGATTGGAGCCGAGAGCGCCCTCCCGGGGTCAGGGGTCAGAATGGAAAGGTCAGGGCGCGGCGCGCTGAGATGATGTAATGGCTTTGTGCGGTGGGGGCGGCAGGTTCTGCGCTTCTCGGTGCGACTCGCTATTCTGGGGCCGCCTCCGCCGCCGCCGGGTCCCAGCCAGACCCACCCCACCCCCGGCCCGGCTCTGCCCCGCCCCGCCCGTGTGAACCCGGCGTAGGTGAGAGCGGGAGGGGCCTGGCTTCCGGGCGTGGTGGGCTGTGTGGACTCGGGCGGGAGGCCGCCTTTCCGGGGGTCTCTAAGCTGCGGAGTCGGGGTGAGGGGCGCGGCCCGGGGGCTTCCCCAGCTCCGCGTGGGGCGCGCGCTACTCTCCGTTTTCAGTTCCTATTTGCGGGGGTGGGGCGGCCTCTGCTCGCGGCCTGGATCCCGCGGCACCGGGCGCTGCAGCCCCTGACCCCCGCCGTGCGCCCGGGCTCCGTGTGGGCTGAAGGTAGCTGCGCTGAGGGAGGGCGGGTCACGGACAGCGGGGTTGTGGGGCGCTGCGGTGCCTGTTACGCTCCCAGCGCGGACCCTTCCGGAGTTGGAATCTGTGTCTCTTTAGAACGGTGCGAATATTTTTTTTTTAACTCCACCAGGGTTTCGTGAAACCATGCGGTGCTGGCGGCTGTCTGACGCTTCCCTCCGTCACTGCATTTCACGCTATTAGTTGGCAAGTGGTGCGAAAGGCACTCCAGCACAAGCTCTCTGAGGAAAGAGAGAGCATTGAGGGGGTCCTTGCTGGAGGCATTTCATTGCAGCGCAGAGTATTCTTATCTGAGATGCCAGCAGCCTGCCTGGCTTTGTGCAAATTGGCCACACCAAATAAATTAACAAAACTAAAAAGTTCTGTCTGTTTTTAAGTAGGATGTCATCTTTTAGAATCCTAGAGCTGTAGGGCTGAAAGGTCTCTCTCAAGATCTAGTCCAGCCCCCAGCGCTGAGGCAGCACCAAGTAAGCTAGACCATCCCTGACAGGCATTTGTCCAAACTGTTCTTAAAAACCTCCAATGATGAGGCTTCTGCAACTCCTCTTGGAAGCCTGGTCCACAGTTGAACTGCCATTATAATTAGAAAGTATTTCCTAATATCTAACCTACATCTTTCTTGCTGCAGATTAAGCCCATTACTTTTTGTTCTATCATCAGTAGACGTTGTCCTGTTTATAACAGCCCTTAACATATTTAAAAACTGTTATCAGGTCTTCTTTTCTCCCCTCAGTCTTCTTTTCTCAAGATTAAATGGGTCCAGGTTTTTTTAACCTTTCCTCATGGGTCAGGTTTTCTAACTCTTTTTGTTGCTATCCTCTGACTCTCTTCTACATGTCCACACCTTTCCTAAAGTGTGGGTCTCAGAATTGTACACAGGACTCCAGCTGAGCCCTCACCAGCACCAAGTAGAGTGGGACATTAGCTCCCATTTCTTACGTACAATGCACCTATTAATATACCCCAGAATGATGCTAGCTTTTCTTGCAACTGCATCACATTATTGACTCATATTCAGTTTGTGATCCACTACTCTCCCAGATTCTCTTCAGCAGTACTTCTGCCTAGCCAGTTATTCCCTATTTTGTTTTTGTGCATTTGATTTTTCCTTCATAAGTGAAGTACTTGTACTTATCTTTACTGAATTTCATCTTGAGTTCAGACCAATTCTCTAATTTATCAAGGTTGTTTTGAATTTTAATCCTGTCCTCCAAAGTGCTTGCAACCCCTCCCAATATGGTATCATCTGCAAATTTTATAAGCCTACTCTCCCGTCCTTTATCCAAATCACTAATGTAACTATTGAATAGTACCATGTTCATAAGCTTTCAGTGACTAAGTTTTACTTTCATTTGAGTTTCAGGAAAACTGTTGGATCTTGCTCTAAAGGTTAAGGAAGCATTCTTTTTCAAATCATTGGGAATCAAAATTTGTATTTGTTCTTGTCTTTTAGGTAAACATCTAAAATCTATTTTATGAAACTGACCCTCAATCAAGTATAACTCTTTGATGCCTGGTATCTAAATCCCCCCCCCACACTATGCCAGCAGCTACAGTAGATCATAGTCAAAGAATTTGTGAAGTTTGGGCTTGTAACCTGGATGAAGAAATGAAGAAAATTCGTCAAGTTATACGGAAGTATAATTATGTTGCCATGGTATGTGTGTGACAGAGCCCTATTTAGTGTACTATGTGGTCTAGTCATGTTTTCTCAGTGGGTGAGGTAATATCTTATAGACACACACAGCTGAGTAAGCTCGAAAGCGTGTCTCTCTCACCAATAGAAGTTGGTCCAATAATAGATATTACCTCATCTACCTCGTCTCTCTAATATTCTGGGACCAACATGGTTACAACAACACTGTATACAAGTTTTCTCAGTAACAAGAAATTAGTCTTTTTAAAGGGCTTGATCCAGAATCCATTGAAGACAATGGAAAGTCTGAATTATTGCTGCAGGTAGTCTATCGTGGTGATAGTAATGTTCATCCCTTTTTTTTTTTTTTTTTTTAAAGAATACTGCCATATACCATATTTTCAATGAGAGTTATAAAGTTAAGTGTTTGGAAACATGCTCTTGAAATATTTATATTTGGAGTGGGTTTGCTGCAGATAAGTTTTCTCTTTTGTTGAAGCTGTAAACTTATTTTTTACAGGACACAGAGTTTCCAGGTGTAGTTGCAAGGCCTATTGGAGAATTCAGAAGCAATGCGGACTATCAGTACCAACTGCTGCGCTGTAATGTAGACTTGCTAAAGATAATTCAGCTAGGACTGACATTTATGAATGAGCAAGGAGAATACCCTCCAGGAACTTCAACTTGGCAATTTAATTTTAAATTTAATTTAACGTAAGTGGTGACAAAATCTTATTGTTGTTGCCTTTTTAGTTGTTCTTTTTACACCCAAGCATGTTATAATTATTACTTGCACAGTATTTATTTAAAATCTCAAAGGACTGATGTTAATACATTTTTAGTAAGTATGGTCCTTTCTACTTGGAGTATAAGACACTTTAGATACAAGAAAAGGCCATTCAGGCAAATGGACTTCTGCTTTCTTGCCTTATTAGTCCCACATTCCTGTATTTTCCTTTATATGTTCTGCTTTATCATCTGTGTAACTCAAGGGTCAGCCTTGTGAGCTGGGAGTTGAGGGCACTCAGCACCTTGAAGATTTATCCTATAATTCTTTCATATGGATTTTTAGCCTTTAACTAAAGTAGTTCTGCCTAAATTCTCTGCTTCTAGATTGTCTAATTTCTGATGATGCTAATAATGTGAAATATACTGTAAAAGGAATCTTTCTTAGTATGTAGCATGATATAATCGCAAAACCATTAAGTTGAGAGAAACCAGACAAAGATTTAAAAAAAAAAAAAAAGGTGTTAGGGCACAAAACTTCATTTTTGTTGCCAACAGTAGTTGTGCAGAACAAGATATCAAACTTTCAGCCCAAACTTGGTTAGTCAAAAGAAAACAAGTAAGCTTTTTACAGTTCAGAAGGAAATGTCTGGGTTTTATTAATAAAATTAAATCCTGAATATTATATTAACTTCCTGCTCATTAAAATTAGATTTTTTTTTTTGACATGCACTTGTGTAAGTAATGGATTTAAAAAAAAATGCACAAAAAATCCTAACTGAACTGAAAATGTAGGACACCAAAGTCTTCTACCTACACAACAAGTATGGCATAGGCAATTGACAGCTAATGTTCATAAGGTCTGACTTGGAGCGGCCCATTCTTATATAATGTCATTTATTCATAATGTATCAAAGCAATTTACAGAGTGAAATAATAATTAGAGAAATAACAGAAGAGGAATGAGAAATTAAGAGAAAATTGGGGGAGATTCCGAACTTGACAACAGCAGTTGCTAGAATGTTGACTGTTACATGAGCAACTCTTTGAAGGACAAGCTAGTGAAAGAACAAAGCTATACTCATGTTTATTTAGAGACCAAAATGTGGTTGGTTACCTGAATAGGGAACCCAGTTGGCTTCATTAGGCCCCAGAAGTTAATAACTAAAAGAATGTTGTTGGTTGGTTTTAGCTACAGTTAAGGATTTGCCTCTCTCCCGGTCTCCTGTGCTGGTAGTCTTCATTTGGTGGACTTGTGCAGCAGTGGAATATTAAATATATAAAGATCTGTATGGGTCTCATTTACCACAATGAGGGGTGTTGTATAGGACCTACCTAAATGTAGAAAGTTTTTAGGGGTACCCTCTGAAATATATAGTATTGGCAATAGTATTCCCTTTTCTTACTGTGCATCATTATTGTGTATATGTGCAGCAAACTAGAAGTCGTTTAGGTTTTTTAAATCTCATGATTACACTGATCAATAGGAGGAGAGAAAAAGGTCAAGATCTATAACTTCAGACCTGGGAGAAGGGGGGAAGGAATTTTCCCTCAGTAATCTTCCCTCCCTAGCCCTTTCAGTTTCTCAAAATCAATATGCTCAGCTTGTCTTTCTTGCTTCTTTTGAGTGTCTAGTAGTAGGGTCACTGAAACTTTGCAAGGGAAAATAATTTCCTAAATATTTAGGAAATTATCTCAACTTGTAATTTCCTTGATGATTAAGGTATTGGAGTCAATAATATATCTTGGTTGAAATCCATTCTTATGACATTAGTAGGGTCCAACCACATTCACAGTCCATTTTGGTCATTTCATGGTCATAGGATTTTAAAAATTGTAAATTTCATGATTTCAACTATTTAAATCTGAAATTTCACGGTGTTGTAATTGTAGGGGTCCTGACCCATAAAGGAGTTGTGGGGGTGGGGGAGGTCGGAAGGCTATGGGCGGGTTGCAGTACTGCTACCCTTACTTCTGTGCTGTGCAGACAGGGGTGCTGCCTTTAGAGCTGGGCAGCTG